GTTCTGCCACTTCACAAGCACTGATGATGTCACCTCGGCTGGTGATGAAACGTTTGCAAACAAATTGCCAAGCTCGGCGAACAGGCAAAATGGAGTTTAGCTCTATGTCAGATAACATTGGAATGAAACCACTAAACCCCCTCCCGGGTCACCTAATGCTGGTGGCTTTGACTTCACCCTTGTTGCTCGGGTTCAGTTTATCACACTCCTGGTAGATGTATACTGTGGACAGTTTTCTATTTCTGTTTATCACATGCCGACTCTGTGCGATAAGTAACTTTTTACTCTCGCTCAATCTTTCACTATTTAGTATCTTCTGCTATACTTCTTACCTTCGATTCAGATGCTTTTGCCTAACTCCCTCAGCAAGGCAGAATCGGAACAGTCAATGCAAGATTTTACAAACGCATATTCCAAGGGCCCTACTATCGCCACGGTCAGTTTATTGTGGGTCTACTGTTTCATTACGAAATAAATGCAACGTTTCCTGTTCAGTAAACCTTCCGTGATCATGCTTATTAGTTGCAATGCTACTTTTTGTTTTCACTCCGTTCATGCCAGTTGCATGCTCACTGTTTTCTATTCTTATCGGTAAAGGCAACCTACGAGGATATTTTGTGTTCTCGTCGTCATTCTGTCGTTGGCCTGGTTGAAGCTGTTCTAAACGAGAACGCCTTGTGCCACCGCTGTTCGACCCGTCTGGGTTTACGCAGTGCTCAAACGGACAGTGTAAGTTTTTAAAACCCAATTAAATGGAGAATTCACAAACATAGATTTGCACAATGTATCCAGAGTCATTTTCCTGTTTCTGTATGCGTGCATATTGCATTCAAGGTGATTTTTCTAGTCAGTGAGATAATAAGTGTAAGACGAAAACAATCGAGCTAGATGCAACGGACAACACAAACAACATCACGTTAGTGCTAATGTGACCAACTAATTACACTGTCTGCATAGATTGGGTTTGTGATTGCGAATAGCTATAGTCTCTGCATATGTGAGTAATTTTTTGTTCGTGTTGTAAATGAGTTGGTTGGAATGAGTATGTATATCACTGATCTGGGAATAAACATGGTGTCAACGCAGCATCAGTAACAAGATTAGATATTGGGTACAGAACAGAGGGATAGTGAAATCAAATAGTTACAACGGATTAAGATAACAAGAATACCAATGTATTTTTTGTTTCACCGTTGTTGAATGGGGTCTTCGATCCTGTGTGTGCGATAATCTTCCTTGCATATCTAGATTTCTTCGTGTGATTGCCCAATCTGCCCACTGATCGAGTCATCTTGGTGCCCTCCTGTTCCGGACAGCACAAGTGAACGGATTTTACAATTGTGGAACCCATGTCAGTCTTCCAAGTATGGTCTATTAT